ATATAATAGTAAATACTATACTATTACAGCTGCTAAAATTCAACATTGACAATGCCAAATGCTGATAAGGATGTGAAGCAATAGGAATTCTTATTTTTTTTTCCATAGGAATCCAAAATAGTGCAGCCACTTTGGAAGATAGTCTGGCAGTTTCTTACAAAGCTAAAAATAATCTTACCATATGATCTGGCAATTGTGTTCCCTGGTGTTTATCCAAATGAACTGAAAGCTTATGTTCACAAAAAAACCTGCAAATAAATATTTATTAGCAAGCACCAAGAATTGGAAACAATCAGGGATAAAGACACTATGATACATCCATACAATGGAATTTATTCAACAATGAACACAATTAGTTAATTATCAAGCCATAAAGAGACATGCAGGAACCTTAAATGCATGTGGCTAAGTGAAAGAAGCTAGTAGGAGAAGGCTACATACCATATGATTCCAACTATATGACATTCTGGAGAAGACAACACAATAGGACAGAAATAATTTCAGTGGTTTCCAGGGGCCCAGGGAAAAAATTAGCCAGGCATGCTGATATGGTGTGATCTAAGCTCATTGCAACCTCTGCCTCTTAGGTTCAAGCTATTTATCCTGCCTCAGTTTCCCAAGTAGCTGGGATTTCAGGCATGTATCAGCACGTCTGGCTAATTTTTTGTATTTTTAGTAGGGATGGGGTTTCACCATGTTGGCCAGGCTGGGCCTGACCAGCCTGACCTCAAGTGATTCACCCACCTTTGCCTTCCAAAGTGCTGGGATTACAGGTGTGAGCCACTGTGCCCGGTCAGTTCAGCACTTTTTAAAAGGATACCAGGAAGGCCGGGCACAGTGACTCACATCGGTAATCCCAGCACTTAGGGAGGCTGAAGTGGGTGGATCACCTGAGGTCAGGAGTTCAAGACCAGCCTGGGCAACATGGTGAAACTCCGTCTTTACTAAAAATACAAAAATTAAGTAGCTGCAGTGGCGCATGCCTGTAATTCCAGCTACTAGGGAGGCTGAGGCAGAAGAGTCACTTGAGCCTGGGAGACAGAGGTGGCAGTGAGCCAAGACTGCACCATTGCACTCCAGCCTGGTTGACAGAGCGACATTCAGTCTCAAAAAATAAAAGGCCAAGAGCAGTGGCTCATGTGTGCAATCTCAACACTTTGGGAGGCCCTGGAGGGCGGATCACGAGGTCAAGAGCTCAAGAGCATCCTGGCCAACATGATGAAACCCTGTCTCTACCAAAAATACAAAAATTAGCTGGGCATGGTAGTGTGCACCTCTATTCCCAGCTACCCATACACCTGTGAATTGGCCACTTGGATGTGAAGGCAGGAGAATCACTTGAACCCAGAAGGGGGCGGTTGCAGTGAACCAAGATTGCGCCACTGCACTCCAGTCTGGTGACAGAATGAGACTCCACCTTAAAAAAGGAAAAAAAAAAAAAAAAAAAAAAAGATACCAGGAAATAACCCCACATATCTCCTTGTACCACCATTTTGCTGCACATAAGCAAACACTGTACTCCACTGGCTTAAACAAATAAGGGGTTTTCTTACAACACAAGAAGTCTGGAAGGAGGTCACTGCTCACTTGGTTCAGCAGGTTGTTGATGTCAAGGCAAATATCTCTGAAATTCTCTGTTCTTTCTCTCACGCTTGTAAGACAGCTATCCACCTCCGGCCATGATATGCATAGTGAATGAAAAATGGGGAAAGAAAAGGACTATGCTAGTGAAATATTTCTCAGCAGTCCTTCCAGCAGATTCTGACTTGACTCAGAATCACAGCTTGGCCCAATCACCTCATTGTATTCCAGGTAATCTTCCAAACGTCCTCATGGGTCTGATGATCTTCTACAGCCAGAGCCTAGATGTCAGTGATGAGGGCCATTCATCTGCTTTTTTTTGACTGGTGAATTTTTGAGGGAAATGGCAATTTGATGCTCAGCTCCTGGGGGCACAAGGTGTCAGAACACTCTTTGGTTCTGATAGGCTTGCTAAGGTACCCTCAGGTGAAGGAAGCTGATGTTCTCTGGGCTCTCAGTTGGCCATCTTCACAGATAATTTAAACTGACTTTTGGCACTTGGCAGGGCGGCTCAATGGCAAATTTCTCTCATGGCAAATCACATGTCTCTTGAAAACTGAATGGTGCTTAGTTAAATTTTGTTGCACTCCCCTTTTGTGCTGGATGCTTATTATACTAGTTTTAAAAACTGACCTTTAACTAGCTCTGTGGATGACTAACACAGGGGCCCAATAAATGGACTGCAGGCATTTTAGCTGCTTTTAATTCAAGGGAAAAAGTTAATTAATACGGTAAGAAGTATCAACCCATCCTATTATCCCTGCATTCCACATTTCTGTAACACTGCTTTTCCCAGAGGCTATCAATTTCCCGAAAGCTTTGCCTTCCATGGACAGAGTCTGTGTCCAAAGAGGATAGTTTAATTAGCTGCTTCACATATCTCAAATTATTGGGAAATAAGCTTTCCATTTTACACAAGAGAGGGAATTCCCGCTGACAATTGCCTCACCTATGGATTGGCTACTTGGATGTGAAGACCATCCCAGGACAATTCATACTATATTAGGGATGGTCTTTGTGCAGGAATGCCCAAGGTATGAGATGTTACAGACATCTTGAGAAGATGCCATGACTGCATTTAGTATAAGGTGAAAATGCTTTCTAGATGGTAGAGTACTATGCATATATAGGCATTATTATAGAACTTCAACCAGAGCTGGCCCTTGGAAGATGAGTAGAATTTCAGCGGATGGAGAAGGTAATATGAATCATTAGTGCTCAAGGGGTATGGAAGAGTAAAAGTAAATGCTTAGTTTGGGGAGGAAATAAGTGCTCCTATAATAACAGAATACATAATTATTCAGAAAGATGCAGTTACAGAAGTTGAAAAACTAGGTTAAGGTCAGCTAAACCACAGAAGATGCTGACTGACATGCTAAGGGAGTGAGATTTCCTGCAGGTCATGGGAAATCACTGACAATTTTTGAGGAGAGGAGTAATCTAATCTGATCTATATTTTCCGGAAGATAATCCTAGTAGCAGTGATAAGGGTGACATGGAGATGCAAATGTGGAGGTAGTAAGACCACTTACAGAGCTTACTCAATAGAGGAGAAATAGACTTGAAGGTTTAAATTGAAGAAACATAGCAGAGAACAAATTACTGGAATTATACTATTGATGGGAAATTGTGGTAGCAACCGTTAGTGGTCTCCTACTATCTGCTTTCTCCCTTGAATTAGTCTGCTTAGGTTGCCACAACAAAGTACCACAAATGGGGTGGCTGAAACTATCTCATCATGATTGGCAAATCATGAAAAAACGAAAGCAAATCCAGTAGGATAGGTTCTAAACACCCAATTGAGCATTATAGGTATTTATTTTAAATAAAACTGACCACAGGAAAAAATTTTAAAATGGCTTATGAAAATATTATTTCATTTTGTAACAGTGGGGTTGGGAGTCTTAATAATTTTCTAACATGTAGAGTGGTAGGAAGGGTATATCAAATTCTGCAAATATCACACTAACTCATAAAACGTTAAGTCCTATTAAGGTAGATAGATCTTCAATAGATCCACTTTTTTTTTTTTTTTTTGCAATTTTATAACGATGTACCAAGTACACACAATTAAAAAAAGTAAACCAAACTTTTATATTAAGATATGACCCCAAAATCATCAATAATACACTGTTTTAATGCTATTCTGACATCAATTCTATTAGTATAATTATAACGCCAATTAAAAAAATTTAGTGGGTCTCTTCATTTTAGTTTAGAGTTTGATTGGGTACATTCAGGAAAACATTCATGGCTTGCTACTCTCTCTCTACCTCCAGCACTATGTTTTTCCCCCGCCAGCCCTCCCTCCGCATCTTCTGACTCAGAGGCTATTTGGAGAGGACACCTGTTTTAAATGGATCCACAGGAAATACCTATGTTGCCTTTTCATAGTCTGACCCTGCATCTGGTTGGCTGAAATGTGATCATGATTTTAAAAAAAATGTTGCCCACAAACTGATGCAACTTCAGTGTGACAACATTTACTGGAAGGCAGGAAGGAATCCAGTTTATGTTTATTTTCCTTTCATTAAGCCCTGGTAGTGTAGTGTAGGAAAAAAGTAAGTAAAAGGGCAAAACCAGTTTAACACCCAAAAGATCAGTATTAAATCACACACACACGGGTTTACAACCAAACTTAGAATGATTTTTTTTTAAGCTGAATGCAATCCTGTGGCAGAAAGTTATTTGACACTCCTTTCTTTATAGCTTTCTATTTATAAACCACTTGCCCAAAGTTCATATTCTAGCTGATGTTATTATATATTGATATGACTTTAATCAATCTCTCTTGGAAATCCATTGAAAGCTGAATTTACAGTTTCCTCGTGACTGACAGTCGCCTGTCAACAATGAAAACCTTATTGGTCCAAAATAATGAAAGTCACTCGCGGCTGCCTGTGCTCGGGTTTACACCCCACGTTCACACGCCCACCCAATACCTTCGCACGAAGCACCTGCTCTTGGCCAACTGCAACTACCCCAGGAAGAGTCGCCGCGATTCCTCGGTGGCGGAATCACTTGCGGGCACTGGAGTCCCCTCCTTCAGTGCAGGTTCCCCGCCCCCTCGCCCGGCCAGGCGCCCACTCGCCCCAGACCCCGCTTTCCCCTGAGCTCAGCGCGCATTTCCCGAACCCCCATCGCACCCAGAGGTCGCACCCACTCCTAGGATGCCTAGGGGGCGCCCCCCGGCCAGGTGTCCCGGGACCCTGCCAACGCAGGAGCATAATGACCAAGGTGACGAAAGAGATGACGCCACGCCGCCCGCCAGGCCGCGGCCGGCCGTGGGGAGCCTCCGCAAACCGCACCCCGCCCGCACGCGTCGCCCGCGTGCTCGCGGCCGCGCCGGTCCCCGGGGGCGCGCGCCCCAGCCCCCGCCCCCGCCCCGCCCCGCCCCGCCCGGCGCCCGGGTTCCCACGGCGTCCGCCCCCGCGCGCCCGGCGCCTCCAGCCCGCCCTCGTCGCCGCCCAACCCGCCCAGGCCTCTCTCGAACATGGCGCTTGTCCCCTGCCAGGTGCTGCGGGTGGCAATCCTGCTGTCCTACTGCTCTATCCTGTGCAACTACAAGGCCATCGAAATGCCCTCGCACCAGACCTACGGAGGGAGCTGGAAATTCCTGACGTTCATTGATCTGGTAAGGTCGTCCTCTCCCCCTGCCCGCCCCGCATCCCGTGCCTGTGTGTGTTTGTGGGTGTGCGAGCACCTGCGCGCGTGCGCGCCTCCAGCATCCACCCGTGTCCTCGCCTCTACCCCAGTTATTACGTGTGAAGGCCCGGCTGCCCCCGCAGCAGCACCTTCTGAACCACCCACCTTTACCTGGTAGCTGGGGGACGAATGGAGGTGGGGCGCAGCCAGGTGGTGGGCTATTTGGAGGGGGACACAGAATTGCTTGTAAGAGGTGACACGGGAAGAATCTTCAAATAGCAAAAGCATCGGACCGGATCATGACTGGCCTGAGACCCATTCGCCCTCAAGGTGCTTTCCAGGGCACCCACCGTGGAATGAAACTTGCTACAACTGAAGGAAATTGGGTATTGTCTAGTGATTTGGAACTTCACCTGAAAGAACCAAAACCTTCTCATATGGGAGAGAGAGCACCTAATAAAGTTGTCTTCTTTGCATCTGTTCTTTTTTTTTTTTTGGCCCATTGTCAATAATTTATTTTCAACATTTACCCTGTAAATATTAGGAAACAGAGATGTTCAAAGTGCATTTCCAAAGTGACTGTACACTCTTCTCTGTCTTCCCATGTACAAGTTTACAGTAGTTTGCATAAGCAGCTCCTCTGTTGGCACAATATAACAATCTTGACAGGTGCAGGTTATTTTTAGTATCATCATTTTGTAAGTTTTTCTACGGGACTAAAAGGCCCTCTCCAACCCCCCTGGAGAATCAGAGTATGGACATAAGGCCCAATAATGAACTCATGGATGGACCTAGGAATTTCAGGGTAAAGGTGACTAAGACACATACTAACAGATTATCAGGAAGAGGGTTAAAACAAAAGCAATGAAATTCTAAAGCACTCGGAGAAATTGTAGAACCAGTTCCTGGGACTCCCAGAACTGTTTGTCCAAAACTATACAAATACACTAGGTTGGCTACACCAAGATTATAATCTTTTTTGTTGACTCTCCATTCTGATGAAGAGAACCTGATACATGTTTTGAGAATTTCCCAAGGTTTAGGATGCCTCAAATAAATGCAGTCAGAGGCTTTTGGTTTAAAAATAACACCTTATATTTGCATTATATTAGATACTTTAAGAGTGGAATTTCAGTTCTTTTGCCCAGCAGTCTCCAAACTGTGCGCATACCCTTAGTCCCACAAGACTTCACAGGGCATAGAATGTTGCAAGGGTTTCAATTTTCAGTTCCTCATCTTCCAACTCTTCTTGAAACTAATCTCCCTCTGAACATGCGTGATGCCTGCCAGTTCTCTTCTCATTCTCCCCATTCATCCAAGTGAGGAGCACACAAGGCTCTGAGGTGTGTTTTTCTGTCTGCTCCTTTTAGTATCCAGAAGATAGATGTCTGTCACCAGGACTGTCTTCATATTTGATTGAACAACAGTGTTGGAGTTGTCTTGACAGAAAGGCTTATTGGGTTGATTGGCTTGTCAATGAGGATTGGCTTTGTCAATTATGCTATGTAGCAGACATTTTCCATATATTGAATGGGCTAAATCTGCAGCCCTGAGTTTCTGATACGTATGTATATGAAGCAAACATATCACCCACAGAGTGCCAGAAGGCATGTCCCTTTTTCAAGTGTGTACACTTAACTATGTTAAGAATGTTGAGATGTTATTTAAAAACGTGTGCATAGATTTTCAGAATTCTTTGAGGGGCTATGTGAGCAAAACTCCTTTTGGGACACTGCCTTATCCCATTCCTAAGTCAGATCTTACTTAGAGCTGACCCATTTGAATGTTGCTAAGAAGCAGTACTGAGCCAAAATACAAAATACAGAGATGCTATCAGAGCCTTAGGTACTGGAAACAGCCCTCAGATCACTCTTGGAGTAGATGCTCTGTTGTGGGAGCAAGGGCAGGGGTCAGCAGGTGAACAGAGGTAGAAATTGAGGGTGTTGGTTAAACTGAGTGATGCCAGCTTCTCATAATTGGTATTGCTTACTGTGCATTAAAAAACAAGGCTCAGAAGAAACCTCTCATAACTCTTGTGTGACATGAAACCGTAATAGCGTCAGCTTGATATGCTGCCATACAATTTATCTTTTAGCATTCAATGACTGGACTTGTCTGTTTTAAATACCAATCACCATAAAGGACTTTTTTCTATCCCAGAAGTCAGACAGTAGATTAAAATGTGAAACATTTACTTTGCTTCGTATTTAGTTTCAGATTGCACAGGACCTTTAACCAGCCATTTTAATGTTTTACTCTGTGGCTCCTGATTGAAATATAATAATTGTCTTTAACCAAGAGTTCCTGTGAGAAAATATGTCTAAGATATTTTCATAAAAGCCTTCACGCAAAGTGTTATTCTTATTGTTTGAGATTTAGAATCTTTAGAGCTTAAGCATTGTACAGCTGTTAAAACAACTATCCTGTCAATCCTCAGTAATGGCGTGAAAAGATTAGGCTACTATAATTTAGCCATTTTACTTTTCACTTTTAATGTTAAAAAGACCGTAAACTTTATTACCTTGTACCTTGTACAATATTAATGGGTCTAAGTTTATTGGAATAATTTTGCAAGAGGGTTTAGCTTTTTAAAAATTTAATGAGAAGGCCTTTTTTTCTTGCCAGCGTGGAATGCAGGAGTCATTTATCCTGATGGCCACAGTTGGATTCCATGTTCCATGGCATCAGTTTACCAGGATGTGAGTCAGGAATCTCAGGCTACGTGTATCCAGGAGCAGATGGTTATGTGGCAGTGGCCATTCTGGCTGTATTCATATCTCTTTTTGGGTATGAGGAACATTCCAACAGATTCAGAGCTCATGGTCAAAAACTGAAATGCACATTGTTGCTACCAGTAATCTTACACTATTATTTTCTGATGGTTTCTTTTACTTGTATTGAGAAACTGTTAAGAGTACTAAGGTGTTTTTGGAAAACTGAAGTTATTAAATGGAAAAAGAACACTATCTTGGCATAGTAGGCAGAATAATGGGCCTCCAAATATGCTTAAATCCTCATGCCAGGAACCCATGAATACATTAGGTTACATGGCAAAGAGAAATTAAGGTTGCAGATGGAATTAAAGTTGCAAATCAACTGACCTTAAAATAGGAAAATTATCCTGGGTTATCCCATTGGGCCCAGTGTAATTACAAGGGACCTTAAAAGGAATAGGGAAACAGAAGACAAGAGACCATCGGAGGAAGATGTGACTGGAAGAAAGTCACAGAGAGATGCAACAACGCTGGCCTTGAAGATGGAGGATGAAGCCAGGAGCCAAGGGGTGTGAGAGGTGTCTAGAAGCTGGAGAGGACAAGAAAATGGCTTTCCTCCTAGAGTTTCCAGGAACACATACCTGCTGACAGCTTGATTTTAGCCTAGTTTGGACTTCTGACCTCCAGAATTGTAAAATAATAAATTTGTGTTGTTTAAGTCATTTGATTGATAGTAATTGGTTACCACAGTAACAGAAGACTGGTATACTTGGCTTTAAAGCCTCTGACTTAGAAAAAAACTTAACAGTTTTTGCAGTTACATGAAATAAATGCAATGACTTGGCTAGTCCTTTATGTATAGTAGATAACTGGTTAATTTTAGCTTTAGCAACGCAAGTGTTTTCCTACTTCATCCATGAAATTATGTGGAGGAGACATACGTACGTCTAACAGTGGGCAATATGAGAATCTATGAAGACTGGACACCATTGGAAAAACTAGGTCTTTACTGTGAAGTATTTCAGAGACTATCATTATGTAGCATGTCAGGCCAGGAAAAGGAATATACTTAACTGGAAATAAGCCGGAAAGAAAGAAAATTGAAACTAGCTATTACTCAAATATTAACATTTTCTTAGTCAATATCACAGCTGATGAATTTTCTTCAAGTGATGTGGATTCATTGATTCATTCACTAGCAAAATGATTATGCTTCATGTTACATGACAATTGCCCCCAAGGATAATAAAGAAGAATCAGAATAAAACCAGCATAAATAAATGAAAAGAAAAAGGCAAATGTATTTTAAGGTCTTAGTGGTTGGGGTATAATAGGTGTTTAGTAAATGTTTAAATAAATAGAAGCTTTCTCTTCCCAAATTTTCATTGAGTATTCTTTTCTTGCCCTGTCTCCTCCCAAAACGTTCAAAATGATAGGAATTTAAAAATATATCAACCAGAACATTATTCAGATGTGTGTGGTAGAGTGTCTAACAGATGAGTCAGAATCAACTTCTTTGAAAACCATGAACTGCATTTTTTAGAAAATATAAAATATTGATGATGGATTTAAGGCATCTTAATTTTTAAAGATTGAAACAGATCTGGCAGTTCCGTTGACTCTAGTTTGTAGTACTGGCCATTTTGAGTCATCGTCTCTTAGGACCATATCAGACCCATTATTTCTCCTGGACTGGCTTTTCATTCATGTCATGGCAGAATAATGTTCAGGCCCTGCCTACTCAGAGTGGGTGGACGACCAACAGGATCAGCTTTGCTGGGAGCCTGTTAGAAATGTGGCATTTCCAGCTCCACCCCAGAGCTTCTGAATCAGAGTCTGCATTTTAATAAGATCATCAGGTGATTTCTATGCACATTCAAAGTTGATAAATGCTGCTCTAAGCCACATTGTTTTTGTTTTTTAATTTACATGGATTAATTATAGGAGTCTGTAGAGCAGTCTTAATATACTAATTCTGCCTGTTTTATTTTATTTTTTTATTTTTATTTTATTTTTGTCTTGTTTTGTTTTGAGACAGAATTTCTCTCTGGAGTGCAGTGGCGTGATCTTGGCTCACTTCAACCTCTGCCTACCAGGTTCAAGAAATTCTCCTGCCTCAGCCTCCCAAGTAGCTGGGATTACGAGTGCCTGCCACCACACCTGGCTAATTTTTGTATTTTCACTAGAGACAGGGTTTTACTATGTTGGACAGGCTGGGATCAAACTCCTGATCTCAACCTCCCAAAGTGTTGGGATTACAGGAGTGAGCCACTAT